GTTGTTATCGGGATACGGAGTGCACGGGTTGGTGAGCAGGCCTCGAAACGACGACGACGGTGCGTCACCGGCACGGCTCGTGAGGTGGCTGTTGGTTTCGTCGTAAAGGCGAACCGGTTCGACCGATCGGGAAAGGTAGGTTCCTCTCCGACGAACGTATTTTCGACCTATATTTACTTGTATATCCCTTTTTTCTCCTTTCTTCCTTTATTCATTCTATTTTATCCTCCGTTATTATTATTATTATTATTATTATTATTTCGCAACACCGAATCTTTACGATATTCGTCGACCAGCATCGCACTCGATCCCTTTTGCGCCCGATCCACGAGCGTGTTTGGTAGTCGGTTGGAACGATTATGGTTGCTGACGATGTTCCGATTCTCTCGAACACCGGTGAATCTTGAATCTTGCGGTGACTGGTCTTTCCTTTAATTGGACTCGATGGGGTTACCGCGATGCTTATCTGGATGGGAGATCGGTGTAATTGCGAGCGTAATCGGGATCGTGGATAAAGTGAGATCACTCTCGACTGAGATCATTCTCGAGTTTACCTCGAGGTATCCCTCTTCTTCCGCCAACCTCAGAAGGGACGCCCGTTACGAAATCGCGCTTTCCTCCTCCTCCTCCTCCTCCTTGTCGTTTTCTTCCCCTTGGTGGAGAAATTGGGAAAAGTAAGGAATGATTAGGAAGAGATTTGACGAAATGATTTTCTCAAATAATCGTGCAAGTCTCTTTTATCGTACCTTTGTGAAAATTGTGTAACTTTTGGATTGATGTAATTGAAAAAAAAAAAAAAAGAAGGAAGAAGCTTTTTAATATAATCGTGAATCTCGAATGTCGAGCTTGGATCATTCATTAATACATATATATTAATTCGAGATCAGTGTTTATCATTCTGAATTTCAACTTCGTACGTGTATATTTACAAGCAAATTACTTATTCTTAAAATCTTATTATTCCGCTACCCGGTTACCAGAACGTAACCACTTCCGCCATTATTATTCTTTACCTCGATCGCAAACAAGGAAACCAACAGAGATGTCAAACAAGCGTTTTCAAAGTTTCCAAACAATTGTGTTGAAGAAAAAAAAAAAGAGAAAAAGGAAAAATCTATTTCAAATCGACCGTTCGAAATCGAATAAGACCGACCAACCATTAGAAAATTACATCATTCGTTCAAATATCTCCAATCAAATCTCGACCAAATATATAAACACATTCCTGTCGAGCATCGAATCCTAATATAATCAACACATCACACATAGTGTTAATAATAATACAAACGTCGAATAAAAATAAATTTTGCAATCTTCGTCGCAAATATATCGAAGCAAAATTCAAAATCAGAAAAATTCACAGAAAACCTCGATCCACTTCCATCGTTCAAACGTTCGAGAAATCGATCCTCCCTCTTTCTCAATTTTCTCTCAATTTCTCATTTCTTCGAACCCAAACGAGAACACGGCTGAACGAACGAGCTACCATAGAAAGAGAAATCGACGCGTCCATTTTCCACTCGTTCGAAAACGATCGGAACGGGACGGAGAAGGAGAGGCTTGCCGATCTCCCGCGACCGCTCTATCGCTGGTATAAGCGGTCGAAAGCGAGTGGAACCGCGGAACGGAGGCG